ACAGAAACCTGATCATGGACTTAATGGTAATATACAATTATATAATTTTCTGTTCTAGTTTTAAAGCTCTTGGCTCTGTTTCTCTGTTTTTTTATTGCTCAATAAAAAAGACAGTTTATCCAACTGTTTTCTGTCTGTTTCCTCCCTGATCCTTCCTGCTCTGGATCATGTCACATCAGCAGAGCAGGAACTCCCATCATCAGGAGACATGTGGGTCAACAGCAGGCTCACTGAACAAACTCTGTGTTTGATGGGACAAGATGCTCCCTCTGTGTCACATTCTGTCTACAAATAAATCTACCAACAAACATCTGGATCTGGAGTTTGTAAGAGTCCATCCTTGTTTCTTTTCTCCAATCGCAGTCCTGCTCAGCTGATGTGTAATGGTATTCTAATCCCCTTGGATCAGGCGGAGTTGTGAGTCATTGCTCCTCCTCTGTAAGACCCCAGCTCTCATGTTGGACTCAGATAAAGTTGTTAGTCTTGACAGCAAACTCAGGAAATCCTGTGGTTTGAAAAATAGGTTCCCTTATCTAGTGGGAGCAGGACATTGTGGCCTCCAAGATGCAAGAGCAGAAGGGTTGCTTCAGTCTTTGTGGTAAACAAGGGGAAGCATTCTTCGCACTAAAGTCAACACGTCTGTCTGACCAGTGAGGGTCTGCACTCTTTGTTGGTTTTGGCTTTAGTCTGCCCCCGCCCCGCCCCTTCCTTTGCAGCAGAGCTCCTGTTGAGTGCTTTAGGACATCATCAAGGCATGTTTGTGTTTTTTCTGCCCCGTCAGCAGTTTACACGCCGGTGTCTCTCCTTTTGTCTTGCAGAGTTCATTCATGCTTCAGCATCATTTCCAGTTTTCCCCGAAGAGGAATTTTTGCACGTCACTGTGATAAAAGGGATGAATGAGGTGATCCACTTCAGACCAACAGGATGAGACTTTTAGATTCATGGTTTCCTAAAAGGGAATTATGTTTGGCACATTAATACATAACATATCAAAATGAGTGTAGCTTTTTAAAGGTCTAAATAAGACAAAAACACATGATGTAGGAAATAAACTTTTGCTCATTCCTTTTGAATACCTTGATTAGGAGTATTTTAATTATCTGAGATGTAGTCTCAGAATTAGCTGCAGCCCCTGGCTTTTTTATTTTATTTATTTTATTTTATTTTATTTTATTTTTTTGCTTCTTCATGTAAGCTGGAAACATACAAATTTGTGCAAAAGTTTTGAGCCATGCCTTAGATCTTTTATATAGTTTTTTTTAAAGAGCTCAACTTTAGTCTTGAGTTAAAGTTCTTCAGGCTTTCTGATGGTTAGAATTTTTCTCAGAAGTTTATCTCTCAGGTCTTGTATCAGGTATTTGCTATAGATAGTATTTTTTTAGTCTAACACCTCTTACTTTGTCCTCCACTTGTACAAACTAAAAAAATAAAATAAAAATTACTAAATTACTATGTTTGCTATTACTTATTAATAAAAAAAATACAAATTTTTCCAGTTTACTGTAAAACCTCTCCTTCCAGGGCCGTTCTGCTCTACTCAGACGGTGCCACCTCGCCCTGTCCAAGTCCGACTCCCCGGGCTCAGCCTCAGCCAGGACGGCTCAGTCTGTGGACGCGGGGGACGGAGGGACAGCTCAGGCTCAAAACGACACAGCCGCCTTCCCCCTGTCGGAGCTCTCGCACCTGTTCGAGAGCGAGGATGCCTCCAACCCAGCCCAGGACACGAGTCAGGACTCGACCGCGGAGCCGGCGCAGCCTGGCCAGTCCTCGGACAGCAGGCCGAACCTGAGGATGAAGTTCCAGGGTGCTTTCAAGAAGGGCATCACCAACCCTGCGGACCGACTGGAAACCACCATATATGAGTCGAATGTGGTTTCAGGCCCGAAGAAAGCACCCATGGACTCTCTGTTTGACTATGGCAGCTATGAAAATGAAAACAACCAGAAGAGACGCAGGAAGAAGCTCCTGAGAGGGTGAGTATCTTTTGACGGTGGCTTTCTGGGTGGAGTTTGCATATTCTCCCTGTGCACGTGTGGATTTTACCTGGATTGCTTTCACAGAATAAAAACATGCATGTTAGGTAAATTTTTAACTAGGTGAGAGTGTGAATGGTTGTGTGTCTCTGGACCTGTGATGGACTTGCGACCTGTCCACAGTGGCGCCTTCAGAAATTGTTTTCGGGGGGGGCCATAGGGGGGCCACTGAAAAACCAGGGGTGGCACACCAAAACTAATATCCATAACATTAAATTTTATGTGTTTGTAATATCCAACTATCTGCACTTCCACAACAGCCCATTTCTAAATTGTTCTATATCTTCATACATACATGGTGTACCATAAATTGACCTTACATTGTTACATGTTTCAGTGGCATCAGAAGTATGTGCAATGTTGAGGGGTCTGGGGGTCCTCCCCCAGAAAATTTTGAAAGAAGTAGATGCCATTTTCTGCATTCTGGTGTATTTTAATAGGTTAAGCTAGAGAAACAGCACTGAGTGAACTAATATTTTATGGTAAATGTGGGGGTACAAATGAATGAAACTTTAAATGATGGGAAACTTCCCTTCAAAAATAATTGCTGTGATGTCTGTCATTTTATTTAAAAATATCAAAATATATATTTACAAGGAACAAGCTTTTTAAAATTTAAAGCCAATCACCTCTTCTATGTATGTTAAAAGATTTATTTGCTTGTAGATATTTACTTTTGTGAAGAAAAACCATAATTATAAAAACACAAATCTGGAAATAAAGATTAAAACAAGCACAATTACAAACTACATCTATTGTAGTGTTATCCCAAACTATTAAGTTATTTGATTTTTTTATGACGTATTAGTTTTAATAAATATGATTTTGGTCTGTGAGAGAAACTGGAGTACCTGGAGAAACCCACTCGTGCACAGGGAGAACATGTAAACACAACCCAGAAAGTTGATCTAGAAAGCTTCTTCCTTAGAGGCAATATGTTGCTCTACCAACTGTGCCATTGTACTGCCCACTTTTGTATTTATTATATATTGGTTTTAATTATTTAATTATTTATATATTTAAATTAAGTATATATCTTCTTCCTTAGAGGCAATATTTTGCTCTACCAACTGAGCCACTGTACTGCCTAATTTTATATTTA